TATATTTAACTGTATCTCAACTGTTGCATGTCTGCATTTCTTCTTTACTTTCTACTTTCTTCCTCGAGGAACAGTTGTGTTTAAAGGTTGAGAATTGCTTTTAAAGCGACTACGCATGAGTGTGTGTGAGCGTGTGTGTTTGTGTGTGTGCAGCTTTATGCAGGTGTATGTGTATACATATATATATATGTGTGTGTACGTATATACGCGTTGTATCTTAGCCAATGAGTAGCTGCATCTCGGCCCCATTCCGCAATAGCTTTCGATTGTCCCACAGAGCTCGGCTCACTCTCACACGCCTCTCACGCCTCTCACGCCTCACATATAGATTGAGTGCAAGCGAAGCCAACCTCATGGTTAGATTATATGCGCCTGCTGTTGTTGTTCGCTCAGCTTAAAGGCCGCCGCATCGCTGAGCAGATGAAAGGGCACTCCGGCCGCCGTTGCCACCTCCAGTCGCTGTGCTGTTGGCGATGACGTAGCAGCTGCTGCTGCTGCTGCCATTGCAGCCGCCGCCGCTGTGCCCGTTGCCGTTGTCGGACTGCCGGCTGCACCACCGCCGCCGCCACCTCCGCCGCTGGCATTAGTCAGACGCTTCAATTGTATGGCATCCAGGGGCAAATGATGGGGCACATGATGCGCACCGGCTGTCGACAGGCTGCCCAATGTGGTGGCCGCCGCCATGGTGGCCGCTGCTGCTGCTGCCGCCGCTGCGGCCGCAGCCGGTGAGTTGCCCGACCCGGTTGTCGTTGTGATGGTGCTGCCGGCATGTGAGGCGCCTCGGCCACGCTTGCGCTTCGGCAAGATGCCCTTGCGGGCCATATAGAAGCGTATGGTGGAGACGGGTATGTTGAACATGTTGCTCACTGTCTGAAAGGTTTCGCCCTTGGACACACATTTGGCGGCCTGGGCCAGCGACGCCTCCGAGCGTCTCACACGCTTATACGATGTATAGCCATCGATGGAGCTATGCATCAGCGAGGAGCCGGACGTATTTGCCGACGTATCCAGATCGGCGTCCATGCTCAGCGACAGTCCAGCCACATTGCTGGCCAGGCCGCTGGTGCTGCCCACATTGCCAACGAAGCCGCTGCTATCGTTGTCCTCATCATGCGCAGCCACATAGTTGTGATCGTCCTCGATGGTCGAGTCCAGATGATGCTGCAATTGTAAATGCTGCTGCTGCTGCTGTTGCTGCTGCTGCTGCTGCTGTTGTTGTTGCTGCTGCAGCAGATGTGCATTCAGCTTGTTGTTCGCAAAGTCTTCATAGTTCTCGCTATAGACGTTCCAATTGTTGCTCGCATCATCCGCTGAATCATCTTCGGTTGCTGCATTCGAATTGTTTGATGCGGCCGCTGATGAGCCCGCATTTAACTGTTGTTGCTGCTGTTGCTGCTGCTGCTGTTGTAAGAGCTGCAATTGCAACGTATTGTTGCCATTCGTCTGCTGGCGCTGACGATGCTCCTTTTGCTGCAGTTGTTGCTGCTGTTGCAGTAGCAATTGTTGCTGTTGCTGCTGTTGTTGTTGCTGCTGCTGCTGTTGTTGTTGCTTGGCAGACAGCGCCGTTGTGCTTGTTGTTGTTGTCGATGTCGTCGAATTGGTGGCCGTATCATCCGTCTCAGTGCTGTCCATATGCTGCTGCTGCTGCTGCTGTTGTTGCTGCTGCTGCTGCTGCTGTTGCTCCTGCTTGACTGCGGTTGCCGAGTCTTGCGCCGCCATATCCTGGCGCATCTGCTGTAGCTGCTTGTAGTTGATGGCCGCCTCGGAGCCATAGAGGCCCCGTATACGCAGCTGCTCGGCACAGCGCAACAGTTGGCCCAGGCCAGCCTGCGTCACATTCACCTCGCCCTTGTACATGAAATCGACCAGGGCCTGAATCTCCCACAGCTTGATCTCGCTGGGCAATATGATGACCGGATGCTTGCACGGATTCTCGGCCAATATGGCCTCAAAGTAGGTGGAGCATGCGGCCAACACCAGCCGATGGCAATGCACCTGATGGCCCTCGCAGGCCAGTGTCACGTCCACGAATCTCTGGCCAGCCAATAGCTGCGGAAAGGCCGCTCCAATGCTGCCCAAATGGCTGTTCCAACGCACGCAAAACTCTTGTGTGGCAGCGGACATCGTGTTGTTGCTGTTGTTGTTGTGGTTGTTGTGGTTGTTGCTATTGCTGCTGTTGTCTTCGTTGCTGGTGTTGCCCCCAACACTCGCTCAATTCACAATCGCCGACCAACTCCAGCGCCAATGGAAGCTCTAAAGGAAGCTCAATTCGTGCCTGATGATCTACAAGGATACAAATATATAGGAAATTAAGATTATTTTAAAATATAAACAAATTGCAATCAAACTAATTAAATAGTATTCAATATTCAATGAATACTACAGCAATGGTCTATAGAAATTTAATATGATTCACCAATTTTTTCAATACATGTAAATGCATCCAAATCATTCATTTGAACCACTCAAAGTATTCAAACGCTTTTGCGAATCATATTAAAAAAAAAAAAAAAAAAAATCCCTTATATACATATTTGAATGCCTATTAGATATTCATCCAAATGAGCGAATAGAAGTGTGACTAATTTCATTCATTCAATATTCATTTACAATCATTATTTGATAAATATTCATTTTT